GTGCCCCTCCCCCCAGGTGGCAGGCTATGGTCCTCCCTTGGTGATACTCAAGATTCCTTCTCCCAGTTCCCCCAAACTATATAGTGTTTCTTCCAGTGCCTGGAAGATTCTGGGCAATCCTCCAGAGCCTACCTATAACATCCTTTAAATTAGCAAGAGGCAGATTTGGATTTCCAGCAACCCAGATTCCTAAATGATACTCAGGCTGCAGAAAGGCCACAGCAGCTCTAAGGGGCCGGTGCCCACTGTTCCCTAAAGTCCTTATTTTTAAAGGAGAGAGGAGAGAGAGAGAGAGAGAGAGAGAGAGAGAGAGAGAGAGAGAGAGAGAGAGATCTTATCGGGGGAAATACCCAGGCCCTCTGCACTTCTGGAAAAGTACTGAACTATATTCTAACTCTAAAAATCACTTTCTTAAGGTCACAGTAGCCTGAGGATTGTGGAGTATGGGAAACGGAAAGAGAAAATGATGTAGGGGGTAGATGGGGGGGTCACATTTGCTGGGCATCCCCGCTGTGGGCTCACACTATTATTTAGATGTCAAAGGACAGTCGGGCAGATATTTGAAACCCTGTGTCACAGATGAGGAAACTGAGGCTCAGAAAGGTGTGCTCATGTGCCCAAGATGAACTGGCTCACTCAGAAACTCATGTTCCTTCTTCACCACTGCCCTGCCACATGCCACCTTACATGACGGGCTTCTTCCTCTCCGCCTGGGTGGCCTCACCCCTCTGCCAGGGAGCGGCGAGTCAGCGGGCACACAAAGCTGTCAGAGGGTGTAGACTCCTAAGGGCGGTGAGGTGCTCTGCAAGGCACCAGGCCCCGGCCAGGGACTGGGACTTCTCGTGCTCCAGCATAGTCAGGGCTTCTGGAAGACCAAGATCCAGGGGTCACAGGTGTGGCTCTGGCAGGAAGGGACAAAGGAAAATCACCAGGTCCCCAGGCTCCCAAAGGAGAAAGAAAGGGAGGAGGCAGAGGGAGGGGGAGCTGACAGGGTGCCTTGGGGTGTTGCTGTTTTTGGTGACGGCTCAGCAGATGATTTTCCCAGCTGAGAAACACACATATACAAACTCTAACCTCTCTGCCTTAAAATAGAGCCACTAACCGAAAATGCCAAGCACAGGGCAGAGTCACCTGCCTGGCAGGACCAGACAGCTCCCATGGCCCCAATAACACCCACCCCACGGGCATGTTTGACAAAGCACCTCTCAGCTGCATGTCACGGGGTCCTCACGAGGGTGGGGGCAGCAGCCAGCCAGGCCACCTCAGCCCCAACTTAGAGATGAAAACGTGAGGTCCAGAGAGGCCACAGAGGGTGAAGAAGTCATGGCATCTTGCCTGATGAAGGGAAGGGAGGGGGGTGGGCTATATTGCCTCACTTGGGGGTCCAAGTAGCTGAGTTCAAGTCCTGCCTCAGCCACTTCCTAGGGCAGGGCCTCCCCTCCCCTCAGCTTCCTGCACTGAAAAGTGCTGCCAATGTGGACAGGTGCTCGGGGCAGTTTTGGCTTTGTTCCTGCTTCTGGAAAAAGAATTCTTGACATTTGTGCAGACATCGGTAGAAAAGGCAGGTATCTGCTACCAGGCACCCAGGAAATGCCGCTGTCTTTTATAATCCCTGACATGTTATAATCCCTATGAGGCATTTTTATTTTCACCCTCTTCGCAGATGGGGAAAGCTGGGTGCAGAAAAGGGGGGGATGTCCTGTGTTCATGTCCAGGACTCACCAACTGTCCCCAGACTGGGTCCTGACCTTTTTCTAAGGACAGCCGGCCCATCCCCAGAAGCTCAGCTCAGGACTCTCAGGCTGTACGTCCTGGGTGGACCCCCAATTCACACACACACACAGACTTCAGCCCAGGTTTCTGGCTCTTCTGAAGTCTGGGTGGAAATCAGAAATGGAACTTGCTGATGGCATTGCTAAAAATAAGGCCGAGGCAGCAGCGCCAGCACCCTGCTTCTGGGCCTCAGGGCGGCACTGGCTTCTCAAGGGAGAGACAGCCCAGGGCCCAATTCTACTTGAGAGCTGAGTGAGGCAGGCGCCAGGGTCACGTCCCTGTGGGCCCAGCTCCACTCACTTGTGATATTTGTAATAATGGCTGACACTTCTAGATGAGTCCTCGCGGCCAGACAGGCTCTTGGGGCTTCTACAGGCTCTTTAATCTTCACAAGCGACGCGGTCGCTCCCTGGGGCTGCTGCTGTGCACAGTGTGAACATGAACATGTTCTCTTCCAGGTGTGCAGGATAGAGGGAGACATGGAAGGTATGGGGCTAACATCAAGGCGTTGGCAGGACTGCAGGCCTTTCTGGAAATTCTAGGGAGGAATCTGTCTCCTTCCCTTTTCCAAATTCTAGATGTTACTGCTCTCCTTGGCTCATGGCCTCCTTCCTCCCCCTTCATCCTTGTGCTCTGCCCCTCTCTGGCCCTTCCTCTCCCAGGTGCAAGGACACAGGTGATTGCCTTGGGCCCACCAGGTAACTCAGGAGACAACCTCCGGCCTCAAGGTCAGCTGACTTCAATTCCACCTGCAACCTTCATTGCTGTTTGCCATGTGAGTCAGCGTATTTACAGGCCCTGGGATAGGATGTGGGCATCTCTGGGGGACTTTATAAGGTGTTTTCTGACACAGCACCTTAGAGGTAGAAACTTTCCTAACCCCATTTTACTAGTGGGAAACTGAGGTATCCCAACTCACACAGCTGGTAAGCAGAAGTGGGTTGAGAATCCAGGCAGAGTCCACGTTCTTATCTCCAACATTTGTTCACTGTCACTGGGTGTGCACTAGGTGCTGGGGCAGAGGTGCTAAGAGAGGATCCTGTCTTCACGGTGACACAGATACGGAATTCGAACATTATAGTGTAGCAGGAACAACACAGGATGCCAGGAGCCCGGAGATCTCGGGAGCACAGAGGACAGCCTGCCAGGAGGAGCCAGGAAGGGAGCTGTCAGCCAAGCTGAGCGCTGAGGAGTGAACCGGCCTCAGCCAGCCACACCTGCATGAGGAGGTGGTGATGAGTAAACCATTCAAACATGTAAAGAGCTTCTCCAGCAGCTAGTACAGGCAGCCGTTAGATACATGTTGACTGTCAAGTGGGACAGGGAGGGCTGTCTCATGCAAAGCAAGAGTGTGTGCAAGGAGCTGAAAGTTCAGTGCAACTAGAGCAAAAAAAAAGGGGGGGGGTACTGCAGGGAGAGGCTGGAGCAGCCATGGGAGGGCAGGGGGCGCATGTTGTCAAGGGGTGCATGCCAAGGGGTGCATGTCAAGGCTACAGCAGACACACCTAGAATGCTCATGCTCCAAACAGCAGCAGAAGGGGCTGCCTGGGGCTCTGCCCAGAACTGCCATGAAGGAAGGCGCGCTCGGCACTCTGAATTGCATGTCACCTCGGTGCTGGTGGCAGCAGTGGATTCCTCCAGGAGTGAGATCCATAGAAGACTCCCCCAGGCATCCAGTTATTCACACCAAAGACCAAGAGTCACCTTGAGTCCTTCCCGTTGCCCTGCACGTCCAGCGAGCCCTAGCTGTAGCAACGCACACACCGAATTTCAGGGCCCTCATGCAACAGAAGTTCAAAACAGGGCTCCTGACTAATGGAGCAGCCTAGCAGCGCCTCCTTCAGGCACCCACACTGCTTCCACCCTGTGACTCTACCCTGGATGAAAGTCATCAGGTCTCTGCCCTCAGCCTGCGGCTAAGCAAAAGAGGCAGAGCACGGCTTGTGGGGAGGTGCCACAAGCAGGCCTGGAAGCGGCAGGCGCCATCTCTGCCCACTTGCCATCGGCTGTGGCTGAGTCGCGTGGACGCTCCTAAGCGCTGTGGGCGGCTGGGAAATGTGGCCAGCTGTGGGTGTCCAGCACCCCTGAACTAACACAGCTCAGGTCCATCGCTTCTCCCCATCTCCAGCGCATCCTCTAGCCCCGGCACCCTCAGCACGCACCTGGGCTCCAGTCTCCTGACTTCCACTCTTGGCCACCATTGCTCTGCCGCGAGCAAGGCTGAATGCCCTTTTTTTTAAAAAAGCCAATCATGGGGCCTCCCCGGTGGCGCAGCGGTTGAGCGCTGGGTTGCGAAGCTGCCCGCGGCCTCTGCGGCGCCGGTTCGATCCCCGGCTGCTCCCCGGCCACCGGAGGAGGGTCCCGCATGGCGTGCAGACCTCTCCTGCCGCCCGCCCGCTGCTCCCCTCAGCAGTGTACTTCGGTCCTCTGCCTGCTCTGCTCCCCGCTCTGGCTCTGGTGAATTCTCTCACCCTCCCGCGCTTCTGACTGTGCCCCGTGCTTGTATAAAGAAACAAACAAACAAATAAATAAATAAATCTTTAAAAAAATATATTAAAAAAAAAAAAAGCCAATCATGGGTGGCGTTGCCCTTGCGGCCTTTCAATGGGTTTGAATTTTACTGAAGAATAAAGGGCCGGAGACCCCATGTGAAGTCACCTCTGCGGCTCTTTTCTACTCCTCCCTCCTCTCGGGCCCTCCCAGCAAGGTGGCTTATCTGCTGAAAGCGCCTGCACTTGCCATCTGGAAGCTCCTGGCCGGGTCACTGCCCAGGGAGCCTCCCCTGGCACAGTCCTGCCCGCCCCAGAAACCAGGTTTCCTCTTTCTCGCCCTGGTCTGAAATCACAGGGAAGGAATGAATGCGTGACTTGTGCCAGGTCACCAGGGCGAGGGTGATCGAGGCGGGCCCCTGCAGACCCCTGCAGACCCTGGCCGCTGGGCGCTGTGCTCCAAAAGTCCCTGTTTGCAGACGCTTTAGTCCCTGGGCGCCAGAGGGTAAACAAAGGCAGGTGGGGGTAGGGGCGCGGCAGCTCTGCAGCTGGAGAGGAGAGCGAGGCCGTCTCTGCCCTCCGGCCACCCCACCCCCGAGGCCCCGCCTCCGGGTGCCCCGGCGGCCGCCCCACCCCGCCGCCCGGGTGCCCGCGCGGGTTGCTGGCGGGCGCTGGAGGGCGGAGCGCGCGGGCGGCCGTCGGGGCGCATGGACGGGGCCGGGGCGAGCCGGGCGCGGGGCCGGGGCGCGGGGCCGGGGGCGCCGCGATGAGGAAGCAGAGCGCGCGCACGGCGGCGCTCGTCCTGTGCATCCTGTCCTACCTGCTGGTGGGCGCCGCCGTCTTCGACGCGCTGGAGTCCGAGGCGGAGAGCGGCCGCAAGCGGCTGCTGGCCCAGAAGCAGCGCGAGCTCCGCAGGAAGTACGGCTTCTCGGCCGAGGACTACCGCGAGCTGGAGCGCCTGGCCCTGCAGGCCGAGCCGCACCGCGCCGGCCGCCAGTGGAAGTTCGCCGGCTCCTTCTACTTCGCCATCACCGTGATCACCACCATCGGTGAGCGGCCCCGGGCGCCTCCCCTGGGCGCTCGCTCCGTCCCGAGCCGTCCGCGGCGCCCCTGGGTTCCCGGGCCGCGCCTGCCCCGGCCCAGCTGGGTAATCTTGGGCGCCTTCGATGCGCCGAGCCTCACTGGCCCCCTCTGCCGAGTGGGGCTGGGAGGAGTCAGTAGGTGAAGCTGGCCCGCGGGAGCGCCCAGAAAGCGCCCAGAAAGCGCCCCAGGGCTGGGAGGCAGGTGGAGCGGGCCTGAAGTCCAAGTGGGCAGAGCTGTTTCCTTGCCTGGCTGTACCACACTAGCGGGGTGATCTCAGACAAGTTGCTTAACCTCTCTGAGCCTCATTTTTCTCCTCTGTAAAATGGGGGTGCTAGCAGCCCTATCTCAGGGCTGTGATGAGACCAGTGTTATCAAGGAGATAATATATGCAGGACCTGGCGCACGAAGCATTTAAAAAGATGTTTGGTGTTGTGATGATTATTATTCTGTTTCTCCTTGAGAACAGGGACCTAAGCGGACTTAGTCACTGCAATGTGGCCAGTGTCTAGAGAATAGTAGACAGTCAATAAATATTTGTGGAAGGAATGATTGATTGCCACAGCTTCGGACCTCACCCTCGAGGATCCTGAGCAGTTTCCCCTACATCTGGATCCCCAGCTGTTGCCATGGCTACCGTCTGGCTGGTACCTGCTGAGCCTAAACCTGGGGAAGCAGGGAAGGAGAGAAGTGGCCTCTGTAGGGCTCCAAGCTGGGTGCCAGCCACCCTGTGGTCAGGTATGGATTTCTAGGTGCCTCCTTGGGCTTGGACCACCACCTGGAAGCCAGGGCATTGGAGAAAGTCTCCATGATGCTGTAATGCATCCTGCATGTGAGCTGTGGCTTAAAAGCTTGCTCTGCTATCACATGGACCAGAGTTCTGGTCTCATCTCTGCAGCCTCTTGCTTTCAGTGGCAACTGATTGTACTGCTCTGAGCCCTGTTTCCCTTGGCTGTAAAACTGAGTTGTTCCTACCTCAGTGGGTGGTTGCCACATGAGGATAAGCTTGTCGCGCGATGGGTACAGGGCCTGAAGCAAAGCAGGCACTATTCATTAGTAATAGTAGCAACTCATTACTTTCCATCTCAGAGCCAAGTCCCACTCAGCCCTTTCGCCCCCTCCTATCGATGTGGCACCCTTGTTTGCCAATCTGGGCGCAGCCCAGGACCCTTCCTGTCACCATGCCCGATGGTGGGGGCACTGTCCACCTTTGCTTCCCTCCCCACATTCTTTGGAGGCCTCCCCATTGGGTTTGGCCTCCTCTCCTGGCTGTTCCCCTCTGACAAGCTCCTGGGGGCCTGGGGAAAGGGAGAATGGACAGCTGGTGTTTTGCCTTTTCTGGCCACCTAGGGTTGCCAGCTAATGTTCTGTGTTCAAGGGCGGCATAAATCAGCCTTGAGGAGAGCCAGGCACCTGAGCATGCATGGATAAAAGGGAAGCTCTGAGAAGGAATGGAGGATAGTGGTTCATACCTAGACCCTATGACCTTCAGGCAGCTTGCTCCTCTGAGCCTAATTTCCTTATCTGTAAAATGGGGATGCTAATATCATTCACATAGCCAGTGGGAGAGTAAAGTGAAATAATCCATGTAGAGTACCTAGCATGCTTAATTGTTACCATTATTCATTTCATTCCAGGCTATTGAAATGTGTAAAGGGAGTTAAAGGTATATATATATATATATATATATATATATATATATATATATATATATATATATAAATTTTAGTTGATACTTGAATAAGTTACATATATACACTTCACAGAGCACAAAAAAGTATAGAACAAAAAGGAAGTCTCCCTTTTATCCTGTGTCTCAATCCATAAATTCCCCTCCAGGACCAAATACAATCACTAGTTCCTTGTGTATCTTTGCAGATATATTCTCTGCCTACATGTTCCTTTGAAACAGACACACACATGTAATATAGACATCATATCAGAGAGTTTTCTCTCTTTTTCACTTAATGTATTTTTACGATGTTTTCCTATCAGTCCTGAAAGAACTGTGTCATCTTTTCCATGGCTGTATAGCAGGGCTCCTCAGCCTCAGCACTGCTGACATTTTGGGGGAAGTCTTTGTTCTGGGGTTCTCCTGTGCAGCTCAGGGTGTTTAATGGCATCCCTAGCCTCAACCCACCCAGGTGCTAGGAGCACATAGGGACACATTTGTGGTAACCCAAAGGCCTCCAGGCATTGCTAAATATCCCCTTGGGGGCAAAATCTCCCCCAGTTAGAACCACTGCTGTGCAGAATTCCACTGTTCCAGGAGCACCCTGGTTTATGGATGGTCCATCCCCTATGGATGGACACTTAAGATTGTGTAATTTTCACTGTGACCAGCATTGCTTCGACACACCCCGCATGCATGCAGCCCTTTGCCCGTGTGTATATTCTGGAGGCCCAACCTCCTAACTGTGGAACTGCACAGGACATAGGGTTTGCGTATTTCACTTCACAGATGAGGCAATTTGCTAAAGGAGGCATATTCTTTTCGGGTCAGCCCACCTGACTCCTCCTGGGTGATAGGCCCCTTTAAGAATACCATGAAAACATCCCCTCCTCGGGCTTGGAACAGACATACCCGTTCACTCTCCAACCATGGCATGGCACCCCAACACTCAAGGATGCCCATTCGTGTTGCAGTCCCCTACAACACTTGAGGGACCCAGTGACAAGTTGCTACACCGGACTGAAGAGGTGTTGGGAGAGGGCTGGCTGGGAGCAGGATCTGGGCAAGAGGTGTGGACTGGGCGGGTGGACTGGATTGGGGACCTGAGAAAAGATGCGGAGGGACATTTGGGTTGCTTACAATTTGGGGCAGCTGTGGAACAGTCTGCGGGGTTTTAAAGACAGGGTGTGACCTACTTAGAACTGGCATCTCGGGATGCCCCGCTGTCTGTGGGAGCCGAGAGGGCGACACCGGGAGTGTTAGCAGGAGCCGGCCCTCAGCAGCTCTCCCCCGACTCTCCCTGCAGGGTACGGCCACGCTGCGCCCGGCACGGACTCCGGCAAGGTCTTCTGCATGTTCTATGCGCTCCTGGGCATCCCCCTGACGCTGGTCACCTTCCAGAGCCTGGGCGAGCGGCTGAACGCCCTGGTGCGGCGCCTGCTGCTGGCAGCCAAGCGCTGCCTGGGCCTGCGGCGGCCCCGCGTCTCCACGGAGAACATGGTGGTGGCGGGGCTGCTGGTGTGCGCGGCCACCCTGGCCCTCGGGGCCGTGGCCTTCGCGCACTTCGAGGGCTGGACCTTCTTCCACGCCTACTACTACTGCTTCATCACCCTCACCACCATCGGCTTCGGCGACTTCGTGGCGCTGCAGAGCGACGAGGCGCTGCAGAGGAAGCCGCCCTACGTGGCCTTCAGCTTCCTCTACATCCTCGCGGGGCTCACGGTCATCGGCGCCTTCCTCAACCTCGTGGTCCTGCGCTTTCTGGCCGCGGGCGCCGACCTGCCCGAGCGCGCCGCCCGCCGCGCCGGCCCGCGCCGCCTGGGGGCGCCCGAGAGCCGCGGCCCCGCCCGGCCCGGCCGCCGCGCGCTCCCCGGGGGCGCCGCCTGCGTCTCCCAGCGCGTCCGCTGGCGGGAGCCGGGCGCCCGCGACAATCTGGGCTTCTCGCCCCCCGCGAGCCCGGGGGCTGCGGCTGGCGGCCGGGCGGGCCGGGCCCGGGCGCGGCGGAGGTCCGTGTGACTGGCCTCGCGGGCCGGCGTCGGCGTGGGCTGGGGGGGCCCGCAGCTCCCATGCGCGCACCACCCCCCCCCCCGCCCCGGGCCTGCAGAGGGCGAGGGGCTGTGGCCTCGATGCGCCTCCCTCCGCCCCAGAATTATATTAAAGCTGCATCATGAGTACAAGCCCGACTCCAAAATTCCCCTGCAGGTGCAATCCCCGTGGGCCAAATGGTTTCTGGAAGGCGTGGCCATGTCGGCACCGGGAGAGGCCTCCGCGGGTCTTCGCTGGCTGGCGAGGGGCTGGGGTGGGAGACAGTGGACGGCTTTGCGTGTTGTGGGGGAAATGCAGGGCTCTCCACACTGGGCTGCTGCGGGGAGGCTAACTGCTCACACCCCAGCCGCCCCCGGAAAGGACGCGTGCCGGGCACCACCTGCTGTCCAGCGTGGACAAGCGCGCAACTCGCTCCTGGTCTGTCCAGTGTGTACTGCGCAAAAAGCACACCCTCCCCTCCCCAAGGCTCAGACGGTGGCTTTGCCAGCCCCACCTTCAGGGTGAGGGGCCCTTGCTGACACCCACAGGTCACTGGGCCACCTGGATGCAGTCGGCAGCGGTGGGGTGTTCTCATCCGAGCTGCCTGACCTCGGGGAGCCTCATGCCCTCCTCGGGCAGCTCACATCTGTAAAAGGACAGAACTGCCCAGGATCCTGCTGGCTCCTGAGATGTGTGGAAGAGTTCCCAGGAGGGGCCCCTGCCCCATAAGGGGCATCAACAAAGGCCCCGGTGTGCACACTGGGCGCTCAACGCCTGAAATTGAACCAGCCGCCCTTAGCTTCCCGGATAGAACTGTCTCAACACAGAGCCGAGCAAGCCAGTTAGAAAAGCCAAAAACTTTAATTTTCAACATGAGCTACATGGCTGTGAACACAATGCAACGTGACCCACTCCAACTGGGGCCCCCCCCAAAACCCTCCCTCCCCAAAGGCCCGAGCGGCTCCTGCTCCCGAGATTGAAGAAAAGGTGGGTGGATGGAGAGGCCCCCGGCCTGCCCTCCTGCCACCCCTGGGAAGCAGTCCTAGAGTGAAAAGCTCCAGATGTGATGTGAGGCCACGGGTTCAAGTCTCCCCTCGGCCCTCACAGGAGCTCAGAGGACAAGGAGTGTGGTCGGCCTCCCCACCGGGCTTGTGAGTCAGGGGAGCTCATGGACGTAAAAGCTTCCTGTCCACTCTGAGGTGCTGCTATATAGACCTGGGGCCCTTCAAAGGGCGTGGGAGCCATCACAGGGGACTTGGGGAGGGCACGGTCCCCGGGGCCTGGCGCAGCGCTGCTGCTCAATAAATAAATGCAGGTGGCCTTGCCAGACGCAACAGCTGGGCGCCAAAGAGAGTGGGTGCAGTGCTGCTCGTGAACACTGAGGGGTGCCATGGTTCTGAATCAGCCTGGACCACTGGGGAACTACCAGCTTCACCTCCTCAAGAAAGAGCTCCGGACTGTTGGAGAACAGAGTTCTAATCTCAGCCCTCACCTCCCAGTGGGAACTTAGCAGATGTCGTCTTGCCCAGGACCTCAGTTTCACCCACTTGAAAATGGGGCTGATGCCACAGGCCCCCCCCCCCAGCTCCTGCCCAGGGTTCTTGGGAGGGTACACCCACGTAAAAGCACTTTGAAAGCGAAAACTTGGAAAGCACTACAAGAAGATCAGGTGTGATTATATCATTTGAAGGTTTGGTGACGATCTCCTTAAGCTGAGGGTTCCACAGCCACACCCCACTCCCACACAGCCCTCGGTGCTTCTTAACTGCCTCAAGTTGGTCCTGGAGGGGCTATGGCCTGGTGGGAGTTCCCACCCAGACAGTGACGCCTGGCCCAAATCCCACCCGCCCTTAGCCAGTAGGGCCAGGTCCCTAAGATGGCTGTCTCTGTGGCAACCCTCTCCCCCAAGCCTGGGACTAGAAAAGGTACTGGTCCACCCAGATGGAACCAAACAGCGCCGGGTGGGTCAGGGGTTAAGGGCCACAAATACTCCTCGTGGTAGCCGTGGCCTGGAGCCACGGTCTCTGTCCCGGGAAGGAGCCAAACCACAATGAAGCCCTTGGTTCGGTCCCCCCATTTGCCTTGGGGTCTTGGGCAAGTCATTTTCCATTTCTGGACCTCCGTTTCCTCACCTCTCAGATGGGCCACAATTTGCCTCCAGGCCACCGGGAAGCTCCCGGGAGAGAAGGGAAGTGGTGGCCTCATCTCATCCTGTTCTGACTCCAGCTCAGCCAAGGGTGGGAGAGGCCAGGCTGAGGGGTGTCATGGAATTCACAGGTGACCCCAGAGGTGGCCTCGGTCTCCTGGTCCATAAAATGGAAATGGCCTTCACTAATGGTCTCAAAGGTGCTTCCATTTTAGAAGGCAAAGCAGATTCTGGAGAAAGAAGGTGGCGATAACTCCCTCCTGCGGTGCCCTTTGACCCAGAAATTGAAAAAAAGGCTTGCCCCCTAGAAACCCCGTTGTTCCCTCCTACTGTGACCCCCCAACTCCACCTTCTCTGCTCCTCTCCCAAGGCGGGGACATGAGCTGGTAAAGGAGCAGCCGGCAGTGGGACGAGCGGGGCTTGAAGGGTTCCCAAAGGAAATGATGAGAACAGCCCCCCCGCCCCAGCCCCGTCCCTTGGTGAGGACAGACCGCGGCGCCCACGCCACACAGCCAGAGCCCCCTGCGTGGGGCACGTGCTCACACGATGAGACAAAGAAACTAGGGCTCCAGCCCCCACCCCACCCCACCCCTCCAGGAGGTGAGCTGAGATTTCACAGAACGAACAAGTAAGTCATGAGGGGGCTCGCTGCCACCCCCAGGGTGTTATTGCTTTGGAGCGCTCTCTCCTCGTTTTATAAAGCCAGCGCAGACACAGAGGGTCGGCTCAGGTGGGGGGGCGCCGAGCCCCCTTCTTCCTCTGCTTGGGACAGCCAGGCTCTGCCCCATCTTTGAAAAGCTACCCTGAACAGCCAGAGCAGTGATGACTGGAGAGAGGAGGCGCTCTCCTGGCTCAAAATAGTCAAATGGTGAGTAATAAACGAACAGCAGAGAAATCACACTGGAAAAACAACAAACGGAGGAGGGGCGGGTTCTGGGCCGCTCAGGCCCTGCCCCTCCTGCCCCAGCTCTGGGATCCCACCCACCATCTCGAGATGCTCTGCAGACCTCCCGGATAAAAGGGGCCTCGCGTCTCCCCTGCCCGGGGCAGTGTGAGGAGCTCATGGAGGTGACAGGACCCAAGCAGAGCTTGAAAGGATACCCAGGACTTAAACGGGCAGGCGGCCGTGGACGGGAGGGAAGGAGTTCCAAATGGATCACCTGCTCAATAGCCTAGAGAGACAACACCCCACCTCCCCCCAGCGAAGCCCGGGCCCCTCCACCAAGGCCCACGATCCTCAGGAGAGCTTCAGGAGTAAAATTAGTACCCAGGATAATAAATCAGAACATTTGAGTATAATGGGCAGCTCCAGCTACAACCCTACGGGGGAGGGGAAGAAGGGGCGGAGGAGGGGCTGCTGAGAGGCTCCAGGTCCAGGCCAGCAAGGAGACTCCCCTCTGGAATGTACTAGTGTCTCCTCTGCGCCCCCGCCTGGGACTCTGTAGGGACTACGTGTGAGCTAAGAACAGACCCCAGGGTTTGGAACACTAACTACCCGCTAACCTGGACTACGCCCTACACAGCAGGGACTGGCTAAGGAGGGTGGTGGGCTGCTGGGTGCCTCCCAGGGAAGTGGCAGAAATGTGCTTCTATAAAGAGGGGCCGGCCTGCATCCTCCCCAGCATGCAAAGGGCTTCCGTAGGCCCCAGGGAGGGCTGGGCCGGGCGGGCAGCTACCCGGGCCGGCTTGAGAAGGAGCCTCCTGCTTCTTACACTCAGACCTCCTCTTTCCTACCATCATCTGTCCTGGAGCCAAGGTCGTTGAGGCCAGGGCAGTGAAGCACTGCCCTTAGTACAGGATGGTTTCTTTAAAAAGACTAAAATTGGGGAGCTCTGCTGCTTCCCCAGGCCCCTAGCCTGGAGCCAGGGGGGTGTAGATGAGATGACCTTTGGCCTCATGCAATAAGGAGGGATTCTCCTATTTGGGAAACCCTCACCTTGGCACCACCAGTTCCACTCCCAGCTTTCCTCAGACTCCCTCTCCAACCCACACCCCAAAATGCAGAGATGGTGGCTCTCTGAGCTTGGGGCTCTGGAAAATCAGGGTCCTGCAGCGCCTCCACCAACACAGAAGACAGAGTTCTTTGCAGTCCACCAGGTGTTTCCAAACTAGTTGTCCCATGGAGCAAGACACCCTGAGGGTCTGCACCAGACCCGGGGCACCTCCTCCTTTCCTTTGGTCCCTGCTGGACCCCAATTCCTAGAGCCACTGGAAGAGGGGCGGGCAGAGGGGACGGACAGATGGACTCAGACAGGCTGCGGCAAAACTCCTTCCACGGGAGGCGGAGGGAGGCCTGAGCTCCTCTTCAAGTGGGGGGCTCTGGGCCCCCCCGGAGCTGGCTCCGGATCCTTGCAGAGCTGCCCCCTTGGCTTTGGGGCAGGAGTAGCTGCCTGAACCCGGTGCCACAGGAAAGACACTTGCTGGTAATTGGCACCATGGAGATGGCCGCTGGGTTCTGGACTTGGCTCCTGGCAGCGAGCTTCCGAGGAGGCAAAAAGGGGGCGAGGTCGGACGGTGTCCGGGACGGGAGAATGGTTTGCTCTGCCACCTCAGTCTTTCCTTTCTCCGATCGCAGCCACATCCACCAGTCAAGAACCGGCCAAGTCAAAAGTGCAGCCAATCCCATTGGGAGAGGGAAGGTCTCAGGGGGTAGGAGGCAAAGAAGGGGTGAGGAGGGGCCCAAGGGGGGCAGGTCTCCCCGTTCTGCTTCCCCGCGGTGGGGGAGAACCCCGTCCTCCTCTGTTCAACATGCCCCTGGGCCTGGGGTCCCAGGTCGGGGCTGGGTGGTCTCCAGGCCATCTGGGGAAGCCCCTCCCCATCCCTGGCACTAAGATCGCTCACCACAGGGCCCCACGGTGCTCTCGAGGGACAACTGGGATGCCTGCCGGAGCAGGGGGCCCGTGGCTGGGTCCACCATGGAGGAGGTGGGGAAGAGCTTGTACCAGCCCACGGCCAGGGTGGTCAAGTCCAGCTCCTCCAGCAGCACGCGGGCCACTCCCATGAACTGCTTGCGCTCCATCCGTCCGTAGTTCCCCCACACGATCACCTGCGGGCCAGAGAGAGTGGTTCTGATTCTGCCAGGGCTACTCACAGGGCAGAACCAAAACCTGGAGCCACCCCCACACCCAATTCACCTCCGCGTCCTGTGGCTTCTACCACCTTAAAATGGCTCCAATCGGGCCATATTTTCCTGACACCAGCGCCGCCATCATCACTCACCCAGGATGCCAACTTCCTGCCTCTGGTCTTGCCCCATCTTTAACCTAAGCCATATCATGAGCCCCTGGCTGCCTCCCTCATGGGCCCTCAGCTTCCAGAGCCTCAGAAACCCCTTTTGCATGAAACATGTAAAAAATTGGCTGGTAGCATGTGAGTGCGAGCTTCTTTCCTTCCCCCAACAGCCCTATCCTGGCAGTGCCAGGCCCATTTCCTGGTCAACATCATCTCTCTCTTGGAGATGCCAGCTGGGTGGTCTCTATGGCTGCAGGACCTCATTTACTCTCCCGTGCCTCCACTTCCAACTCTGCCCCCGCCTCTAAAGCTGGGCTGGCCCAGCCATTCAGCAGAGCCCTGTGACTTAACACACAACCTTTGCAATTAAGACATCTGTGAGTTCAAATCCAGTCTTGCTGGACAGCTGTGGGCAAGTCCTTTAAGCTCCAGTCTTGTTTCTTGTTTGTAAACATGTAGGTGAGGATCAAAGCAGATAACGGAAATAAAAGCTCCATATCTACCATCCAGCACCCAGGGCAAGATGGGACCAGGAGCTGGCCCACTGTTCACTGCACGTTGGGGACTACTTAAAGGCTAGCCTAGCCTGAGAGTCAGTCTCCCACAACCCTACCAAAAAAAGAGATCTGATTTCCTAGCTGGTTTTACTGAAGCTCAGAGAAACCTGGGCATCCAGCTGGTCACCTTCAGTGCTCCCTGGACAGCTAATCAGAACCCAGCCTGGTGCATGAACAGATGTGTTTCCACTGGTGTGATGGCTACACTGCGTCCCCCAAAATTCAAGTTGAAGACCTGAGTCCTAGTGCCTCAGAATAGGGCCGTATTTAGAAACAGCTTTGAAAGAGGGGATTATGTGAAAGGGACACCCTTAGGGTGGGCCTCCATCCAAGCTGACTGGTGTTATAAGAAGGATCTGGACACGAAGGGGGACCTGGGTGAGCACACACCACCGGCCACGTGAGGATGTGGCAATGGGGCAGCTGCTGCAGGGGGGGGCTTTGGGAGGAGCCAAACCCCTGGCACCTTGAACCTGCACAGGTCTCCAGACGCGTGAGACATGCAGTCCTGGGATTGAAGCCGTCCGTGGCACTTTGTAATGGAATGCCAGCAAACTGATACAGCTGCCGCTGTGCACCTCACTCAGACTCGGGCAAGGTCAAGGTCCCATTTCAGATTTCTTGCCACACACTCGACCTCCCAGACACAATGGGCGTGGGGGCTTCTCCTAAGATGCTCAGGACAGAACATACACACCTTTGTCCAGTGGCCAGATGTGGCCCCAGATGGCCTCCTGATTTGTTTTTGGATTGTACTTGAAAGCCAGTAGAGTGTTTCTCAACTTTTTCAGAGGGATGCACACACAGTAAGACAGACATGTACACCATCACCCAATGCCCCAGGGGGGTCCACAACTGAAGCAGGTGCCACATCAAGTAAGATGTACCTACTCAGAGTGCAGCGTCATCGGGAGGCACTATCTGAAGAAGCTGAGCCCAGAAAGGAAGTGGTAACATCACAGCTAGTTGTGGAGCTCACCAGCTACAGTGCTCTTTGCCCCCCAGAGGCCTCCCCCTCCCACAGGTGCTCCTCTGCTCTCTTGGAACGGCACGCACACACACTCCCATTGCCCCTCACCTGCAAGACTTTTCCCTGGGGACTCTCAGGAAACAGCAGCACCTGGTTATACAGTGGGTCCAGCGACTTGCGAGCCACTTTGGTCTTCTTCTTGGCAATGCAGACGCCATTCTCCAGCAGGTAGGCCTTGATGTAGGCCGCTGGGGACAGAGGCCAGCAAGTAAGGTCTCATTCGAGCCCTCATATGGGGCAGAGGGTGCAGAGGAAGGCAGCTGCTGACCCACTGTTGGGGATCAGAGTGCCCCCAAGGGATCTGGGGAGGAACAGGAATGGATATGGATGGTGGGGTGCAGCCAGGGTTCAGTGAGGCCCACTCTACCCCCTTGGGTGGTCCGGCCTGCCTCCTCCCTTCCTCTGTTTACTATGTACTTGCCTGTTTCTCTCTCAGCTCTGACTTACCCACCCCATTCCCTGGCTTATACATTCATCGATGACACATTCACTCTACAAGTGTTTGCTGAACACCTGCTGTGTGCCGGACACCCTACCAGGCACTGGGGTATAACCCTAAAGGAAAAATGGTCCCTGCCTTCCAGGAGCTCAGTACAATAGGGGAGACCAATTAAGTCAATGGATAATCCCAACGGTCCACAGAACAAACCCTAAGCCACCAACTGCACATGAGCACCTTGGATTGGGACAGAGGGCTCCCACAAGTTGGGTCCAATTTTCTCTCTTCCAGACCTGGAGAGTCCTCAAGACTTCCCCCACCTCACCCCCACCTGGCAGAGGGCAGGGAGCCTCCCACCTGGCAGTGACTTAGAGCCTGGCTTGGCTGTCAGTCCTCGTGCCTGGATGATGTCCACTTCCAGCTGTCCATTCCGCTCCTGCAGGCCGATCTCCACGTCCCCTGCAGGAAGATGAGAGCGGGCTGTGGCTCAGAGGCTCAATCAAGGACTCAGCTCCTCCTCTCTGCTCAGGGCTGCAATCTGTGCCCCCTCTTCTTCTGCCCCCACTCCAAAGACTAGAACCAACTCCGCACCCCACTCTGCTGGGGGCTTAGCAGATGAGGCCCCCAGCTGGGTGCTCAGCAAATGGAGCCAAGGCAGAGGGGAAGGAGGGAGAGATGCAGAGCTGCTGGTGGGGCCCTCCATTTGGGACCCATCAGAGCACTCACCCATCGGCGTGGTGGCCAGGGTCTGGCGGCCCACAAACTGTGCTGGCCCCATGCTGCCCAGAAAGTCGCTGAACTGTGCGTCCGATGCCAGGCAAACGCCACCGTAGTTGAGGCTGCAAGAGGACAAGATGAAACAAACACAGATGTTCCAGGCTGCCCCAGGATGGACCACCTGGGTGGCCAGTTTCAGATACCCTCATTTCAGGGCATCCTCATCCATTCCCCAGCCTGAGGCCAACACAGGTCCTGTCTCTTCCCTCCTTTCTTCTTCCTGGTCCTAAAATTTCAGCACAGACTCCACAATTCTAGGGTTTAGCTTTATGTCCTGTATCATACGCCTTACCTCTTCCCGCCAAGACTAAGGATCATGGGCATGGTGATACCATCTCTTTGGGTGGCTATGGCATTGCAGGAGATGAGGCTTCACAGGGCTTGGCTCCTATGGTCTAGTGCCATGATAGTGTGGTCTGGGAGCTAATCAAAGTGTGGTCTGGGAGCTAATTAAAACCACACAATTGTACCCTATTCTATCCCCAGCTGCCCACTCCTTTGCATCTGACCATTTAGGGTACACAGGATTAGTGGCTCAGCCTCGAAGGTGTGAATTTGCTGCTGCTGCTACTGCACTACCCAATGTGTACTCCCCTTCCTTTGATAAGGACACCTCAAATCCCCTCTGGGGAGCCTCCTCAGCAAAGCACGGATTTCCATGGAGCAGAGCAGAGCCAGCTCCAGAGGCGGGTGTGAGCTCAGCCCAGCCAATTAGCACCTTCCTTCCCCTTGGCCAGTGACAGGCTCAGTGGGTGTGTGATCCAATTCAGCCCACAAAAATCTGGCTAGGATCTTTGTTTGAATTGTGAGGAGAGAGAAGCTTGTTCTTCCCACTGGACTTGAAACTGAGATATAAGATGGAGCCTCTGGGAGCTATCTTGCTACCATCTGAGCTCATGAATGAAGCCATCCACCTGGTGGCACTGCATGAGCTCCTGGATCAAGCTTTGCCTGAAGCAGTCACTTCATTTTTTGTTACATAAGTCAATAAAAACAATAAAACAAATTATTATACTATTATCAATTCATATTGTTATTTTGCTTACACCAACTTTAGTTAGCTTTTCTTTTCCCCTCTCTGAAATGGGAATAATAACATTCCCATGTCCTAGTCTGTCATGACCATTAAATGTCAGACATGCTTCCAATATCTTTAGGAGTAAAACACTCGAAACCCATTTTCTCATCTGATCCTCACCCCAACCGCAGGACTTTGGCTTTATTATCATTCAGGTGAGGAAACAGGTTTAGCCTGCCCTAAAGCCACAGAGTTCACAGGGCTGCATCAGTGTTTGAGGTCAGTACTTCTAACACCAATCCCATGTAACTTTCCACCTGGCCATATCCTGAGAACAGCTGCTAACCTCACCAAGCACAGTGTACCAGCATTCACAGTGGCAGCCAGGGAGGTCTGTGAGCAGAAGGAGGAAGCTGCGTGGGGCCTCAGGGCACTGCAGGCTTTGTTCCCTGCACTGAGAGCCCCACACCCCACTCACCCCTGCCCAGAGCTCTGCTATCAGGGAAGGGACCCTCAGTCTTGAAGAAGCAGGAGGAGCACCCCCTTCTTCTTCCAAGCCACCTGCTATTCTCTTTCCCCAAGTTCATCATGGTGGTTCTTCCTGCTTCAACTCCACAGTCTAGACCTGCTCCCTGGGGCCGGAGCCTATCTTTCTCTCTGTTGGTATACCTAGTGTTCAATTCACAAAATCTCAGCTGGCAACGCATCCATCATCCACTTGCTCAGCAAACAGTTCAAGAGTTCAAGAAGGGTCTCCCCCCATTCTCTGCACTCCCTTTTCCACAGGTGAGAGGACGCAGGCCCTGCTTGAGGCTGCCTGGGAGGACGCTGAGCTCATACGTACTCCCGCACACTGCAGACGAGACAAAAGCAGACACTGCGCACAAAGGCCTCACCATGTAGCCAGGCAAATACAACTCTCCCAGAGAAACAGCCGCAGGGGGCCCCGCCAGGCCCCACCGAGCTAACCTCCTCCTGTCAGTGCCCAGTGGCCACCAGAAGAACAGTCACTGCTGGCCACATTGCCCAGGATGGGCAAGCTTGCTGGACACCAGAGGAATCACAGGGTCCAATAGACAAAGGAGAAGGGAAGGAAAGGAGGCGCACGTGAGGAGGTGAGAAATCAAGGCCAGGCTGATTGTAAGGGTCTCAAGTGACATGATGGGAACCGGACATTCGAGGGTGGCCCCTGCAGTGGTTCTATAGAACAAGCGTGGTTTTGTTCAGCTGACATTCAGCAAGGGAAAGCCACTTGCAGAATGTCACACAGTGAGAAGATGTGACAGGCAGGACTTGCTCGGAGGTCTGCTCATGAAGACACGGTAGCTGGTGGCCCCAGCACACGATCACCTCCCTCGCGCCTGCGAGGCACCAGCTCCTGCAAGGCTGATGTGCAGTGAGCGTGGTGACACTGTGTTCACCTCTTCCTCGCGGGCTCGGAGCTCAATTCATTCCCCAGCCCGGCAACTAAACATGGCCATGGATGTGAGCTGAAGTGATAGGGGCCGCCTCCCAGCCTGCCCTCTAAAATCCTCCCACCCATTAAAATAGCTACTATCAAAAACTAAATCAAAATAGAGAAACTGGAACCCTTGTGCGCAGCTGGTGGGAATGTAAAATGGCACAGCCGCTGTGTAAAACAATATGGCAGGTCCTCAAAAAATTAAAAATAGAATTACCATATGATCCAGCAATTCCATTTCTGGGTATGTACCAAAACCAAAATTGAAAATGCTATTTGTATTCCTAGAAGCATTATTTGCAGCAGACAAAAGGTGGAAGTGACCCAAGTGTCCACCGCTGGATGAACAGGTAAGCCAGGTGTGGTCTACATGCACAATGAAATATTATTCCACCTTAACAAGGGAAGTCACTCCAACACCTGTGACCATGTGCCTGAACCTTGGAGACATTATGCTAAAGGAAGTAAGTCCGTGACAGGAAGGACGGGCACTGTATGATTCCGCTTAAATGAGAGACCTAGAGGAGCCAAATCCCTAGACGGAAAGCACAATGGTGGCCGTCAGGGCTGGGAGAATGGGGGACGGGGACTTTTGTTCAATGGATACAGAGCTAAAGACCTGTAAGGTGAAGTGAGTTCTGCAGCTGGATGGCGGTAGGGCCGCATTCCCTGGGGCACGGCTTGACTTCATGTTACGGGCTGTATGCTCAGACAAGGGTAAGACGGTAAGTTTTGTTGAGTGTTTATCACAATTGAAACAACAAAAAAAGCCCCTCCCACATGTGCTCGTCTCTCTTCCCCCATTACAGCTGTCATCGGAGGTTCCTGAGAGTCCGGGATGGTGCAGCCACAGAAAGCTGGGGCTCAGTGACCAGAAATGAAACCAGAAAGGCCCCTTCTACCCCACTGGCATCTACAGGAGCAAGAAATAAATGTCCTAGGTACAAGAGGCTGGTCACAGCAACTGGCTTTACTTAAACACACGATCCAGCGCCCCGGCCAGGATGTCAGACCCAGAGCAGACATCTGACCCAAGCGCCGTCAACCAAAGACTCTATGGGAGACAGAAAAAGAATCCCGGATTCAGAAAGTCACATGGACTTTCTGGAGTTCACATAGAGCGGTAAAAACGGCCTGCCCTCACAAAGAGCCCCCAGTTCCCCAGTTTGGGGCTTCCCAGGCTCCCCCAGCTCCCCATCCTGGCTGCTTGGTCCTTCTCTCAGCCACACGAGATGACCCAGCATCCTTCCCACTTAGACCACTGGCAGTCGGTGGCAGGAGAATAATGTCACATTTGTGCCTGAGGTCTTTTCATTTTTACGATTTCCTATGCCCTCCTATGCCCCCCTGCTGCGCTGTCCCCTACCCAGGCAGCAGCCAGGGTGTCCTAGGTCCGCTGCCGCGGAGAAAGGATGACCCAGACAAAACCATCAGAATCTGGACCTTGGGTTTAAAATCTAGGTAATGCAGGCTCAGCAGGCTAGCTGGGAAACCAGGCTACGCTGCCTCTAAATTAGCAAACACCCCGGGAGAGCAGAAGTCAGGTGAGGAGGGGACAGTGCAGAGATGGGGGACCACCCAGGAAAGTCTGGACTCCAGGCTGGGCTGGTTGAGCTGTGGGGTGGCAGGAAACCCCAGGCACATCTGGGGAGTCTAGAAGCAGGGGGGGACTGTGCCCATCCCTCTCATCAGGTGGAGCTGAGAAACGGGCACAATCTGTGCAGAAGTGTTGCCTGGTGTCTCTCGGAGTGAACCTGGGAGTCTCTGGGGCTCCATGTGTCAACTCCACTGCCCAGAGGAGCATGGGCTCCAGCTGCCCTCAAGATCACCCCAAAGCAAGACAGAGACAGAGTCTCTGGGGCTCCATGTGTCAACTCCACTGCCCAGAGGAGCATGGGCTCCAGCTGCCCTCAAGATCACCCCAAAGCAAGACAGAGACAGAGGCGTATTTGAACCCAAACAGTTGGGCTTACAACTCTAGTATCTCCACAATTGTGCACCACCGTTTCAGAGAAAGTAGGCAAAAAAATAGACTAAATATCAGGGGAGAGAAGTGTGCACCCACTCATCCTGCAAACCCAAAGACCTTTAATTATAGTATATGGCTCAGCCCCACACTCCCTCAGGGCTTGTGATGTGGCCCCCATCTCTCTTCTACCTCACCCCTGCATCTCGGGGGTGGGGGCCAGGCTCTGTTCTGTAAAGGAGGGTTTGGGCTCCAAAAGCCATAGAAATGTCGGTGCCTCCTGGGTTCCAAGGCACAGAAGGGGCCCAGCCTCCCAGGCACAGCCAGGCCTTCTGCAGCCTGAAATTGAAAGTTTCCTCCAACACCGTCATTGTCTGCTCCTCAGTTCCTGGTGGGATTGTGAGCAGACAATGGGGAACTGGCAGGCCTGGTAATTAGTAGTAATTGTTTATAATATCTGGGCGGCTGCCTGATTTCCCATTCCAGGGTGCCTCGCTGGCTGCCGAGGAACCAGGCTGATGCCCCGGAAACCCTGAACAGTTAGCACATCCTCCAGCGGGCTGGAGGTATTGAAGTGGTGCAAGTCCCTGCTGGACCAAGGGTCACCTGTGTCACA